TAAAAAGACAGTATAAGTCATTATAATCCGTAATTATGTCCCCACTGGATGCAACGAATGCCTCGTTTATAATCGGTTTTATTGTTTTTGTCTCGTCGCTCCGGGACACGCCATCACAGTATGGTAAGGGGCGTAACATTTCTGTCACACGCTTGAGGTGTTCAGCCAATCACAACGCACTGGATAGCTGGCCAATCAGCAAAAATCGTAAAAATCGACGCGTTTCAGAAAGGCGGGGCATATAAAGGAGAAACAATAATGTACAGTATGTGGAAAATAATGTTTTTTTTACCTTAAACCACATAAACACATTTCATTACACCAAATACACAAAATAATGTTCTTTTTAGCAGCATCATATGACCCCTTTAAACAGAATTCTGCATAGTATTCTTCATAATGAGCCTTTTGCATTATTGTATTACTGACAAAAATGTGACTGTCAGTTTGTTTGTCTTTAGTTTTTTAATCTGATCTCTAGTTTACTAGCACTTTCCATAGTCAACCACTGAAATACTAAAGTCGTCTGCGTGAGAGGATCTGAATTCAGAGCTCAAATGACATTACAGTATATTTACCTCACATAATATCTCTTATATCAAACATAAATAATCTGTCGAGTGTTTCACTGTGTATTCATAGCAATGATCATATCCGTGCGTTTACTACACACTGATCTGCTTTAACCACTATAGACTGCTGGTCTGCTGTAAACTCAAGCTTAGAGAGAACTCACTAACAGCATATATTCCACTTCCTGTCACACACTGAACTTGCTCAGATGTTGCCGTTTACTTAGCAGATGTTACATTAATCTCTCAAATGATTCATTCTGAAAAATTAGAAATCATACAAAATCACTTCATGTATAATGCATGCCATCTAAGCGGTGTAAATACAGCAAATATCATATTATATAATCTGTGACATATATGCTCAAAACTTATAATACTACATTTAATCACTGCATTCATTTATGCAGAGTTAGATGTGGTAATATTTTATTTAAGTAATATTAAAATGGATATTTATTAGTTTGAATCCAGCAGAATACAACACCATTTTTTGACACTGATGTTTTTATGATTAACACTGTGATTTTCTAATACTTCTTAGCACGATGTTTTTTAAGCATTTAACATCTCATCGACAAAATTATGTCCATTTTTTCCCAGAAAACTCCGCGTTTCTTTTTACATTTTGCTTTGATTGCACTTTTTATTTGATTATTTTATGTGTGTGTTTATAGAGAATTTGATCATTCGCCACCTAACCCAAGACTTTTACTTAAAGGTTTTCTGTACTGTGCTTTTATGATTATAAACATTTATTTTTGTATTTATTCCAAGGGGAAAAATGTTACTGCAGAGCCAAACTCTATTATTTTCTGTATTGCATGCATGTGTTAGCTTAAGATGGTTTTTGGTGCTTGTCTTAGCAATGTTTATCTTTTTCATATATTAACCCGAGAGAATCTAACTGCATTTGTAAATTAATATATAATGAGGTCACATTATGGATTAATATCATTTAATATTAGATATTTAATATAATGTGTTTTTTTACATTACATTGTGTCTTATTTTTTTAGCTATGTGTTTTTAATTTAAGATATTCTTACACATAATTTGGTGTAGATTATCTTGCTCTATATCTGAAATTTAAATTGGCAGTTAATAAACTAAGCAGTATTGTAATTTAATGTGTATGTGGTTTGTATTGCCTTATTTATTTATGCCTTTTCTGTCAGTTTACTATATATATATATGTTTTAGATAAAAATGTTTAGTGTTATTAAAAAAAGTGTCTTCTGCTCATCAAGGCTGCATTTATTTGATCCAAAATACAGAAAAACAACTTCAATATTGTGAAATATTTTTTTACAATTTAAAATAAGTTTTCTATTTGATTATATGTTAAAATGTAATTTATTGCTGTGATCAAAGCTGTATTTTCAGCATCATTACTCCAGTCTTCAGTGTCACATGATCTTCAGAAATCATTCTGATTATCAATGTTGAAAATGTTGAGTCTCTTTCTCATCGCGTCCGCAGCGTGTGGGAGCGTTTTGATTGGTCGATTCGGTACTGGCGTCATGAGCGTCTTCAGTAATGTGCGGCGCATGCGCACTCGCTTCTTCGGCGGAGATGATTATGAGGCGGCGGAGGGATTGATGATGAAGATGATGATGATAATGCTGCGCGGATTCAACAACATCCAGAATAAAGCCCTGACGCATCGGTAAGAATCGTCGTCTGGTTGTTGTCACGCGCCGTCAATCGGTTTATTCTGCTTTATCCCGATGATCGCAGCAGCTTACATGAGCATCACACACAGATGCTTTATGATGTGTTTTCATCAACGCAGGTGCATAGTAATGTGTGTTAAAAATGCATTTTGATTTGCAAGACTGTAATTCTGTACATATATTTGTTTATCTCGGGTAAATGGCCTTTGTAGTTTTAAAGAGGCCCTGGAGGTGTGACTTCTTGTATCAGATTTGAATATATATTTGTTGCAGTATGCTGTTCAGACCAAAATATTGGATTTTACCAACAAATAAATAAATATTAAGGCTCTGCTCATGTCTTAGCTTCATAACCTTATTTATATTTAAAGTAACTGGTGTCAGGTTTCAATGTCCTGGGTGTTTATCTCCTGCCAGATTAAATATTAAATGATTTTCTTGTGTGATTGACTGCCGTTTGCATGGACAAGCTGTTTTTTTTATTATTTGCATTTGATTCATATTTCTATAAATCATGGCTTGTGTAAATTCACGCGCCGTCAATCGGTTTATTCTGCTTTATCCCGATGATCGCAGCAGCTTACATGAGCATCACACACAGATGCTTTATGATGTGTTTTCATCAACGCAGGTGCATAGTAATGTGTGTTAAAAATGCATTTTGATTTGCAAGACTGTAATTCTGTACATATATTTGTTTATCTCGGGTAAATGGCCTTTGTAGTTTTAAAGAGGCCCTGGAGGTGTGACTTCTTGTATCAGATTTGAATATATATTTGTTGCAGTATGCTGTTCAGACCAAAATATTGGATTTTACCAACAAATAAATAAATATTAAGGCTCTGCTCATGTCTTAGCTTCATAACCTTATTTATATTTAAAGTAACTGGTGTCAGGTTTCAATGTCCTGGGTGTTTATCTCCTGCCAGATTAAATATGAAATGATTTTCTTGTGTGATTGACTGCCGTTTGCATGGACAAGCTGTTTTTTTTGTTATTTGCATTTGATTCATATTTCTATAAAGCATGGCTTGTGTAAATCTTACACCATGGGAAATGGGTTCTTAAAATACCTCTGCATGTGATTTCTGAATATGTTTGAACAGAATTGGTATATAATTGACACACAGGCTCGGTCTTACAGGTGTCAGTGTTTTTTGGCACAGAAAACGGATCCAGTTTCTCTGTCTCTCTCTAGGCATGAGCATTGAACCCTGATAGAAGAGTAGCAGGAGAATGAGACTGCGGATTGTAGATAAAGTGAGTAGAAAAATCATTTTGAAATTATTTACACTACTGGTCCAAAGTTTGGATTAATTAGAATTTTTAAATGCTTTTGAAAGAAGTCATCACAGGAATACATTTAGGATTACATTCCAAAATATATTAAAATAGAAAACAGTTGTTTGAAATTGTAATATTTCACAATATTACTGTTTTTACTGTATTTTTTATCAAATAAATGCAGCCTTGGTGAGCAAAAAAGACTTCTTTCAAAAACATTAAAAGTCTATTTTTTTCAAATATAATACACATACACATATATATATATATATGTATATTAGACTGATTTTCCACTTTTCTGTATGTGTATTGTTTGTTCGCGCTTTCCAGATTTAAAACAAATAAAACATTTTGCATTTAACTTCAAATGTAACTTTCTATAAACACTGTTAGATGCATTTATTATGCCATAAATCTTTGGGGAAATAAAGTATTCAGCATTCAGTAATCAATATAAAATACCTGCGTGATTTTTGTATTTCAAGGAACATTAAATTAGTATATTATTTAAATACACTCTAATAAAACATATAGCAAAACATACAGATAATGCTCATATAAAAAGCTTAAAAGTGTCTTTTGCATGTGAAATGATCGATGCTAATCTGATTTCCTCCAGTGTTTATGTTTGAAGTGACTGTCAGTCATTGGTCGGTAAGCTGATGAGCTCATCTGTGTTTCCTCAGCAGTGGCAGCAGGGGCAGCGGATGGTGATTTATGGGGTGGTCTTCCTCATCATGACCCTCCTCATCCTCTACAGCTCCAACAGCTCAGCTGATCTTTACAGCCCCTTTAAAGTCAACGAGTTTCGCCACGCCGTCAAACACACCAACCTCAAGAAATGGGCGGGGAAGGAGGGATACGCTCCTGTTTACGGCAACAAGGTGCTGCCAAAACTTTTACAAATAATATTTCTAACCCATCCAGTAAAAAAAATAAAAAATTATATATATATATATATATATATATATTAAATATATAATGAATTAAAAACAATGAAACCAAAAAAATAAAATAACAATTTTAAAATAATTATATTAATTAATTAAATAAGTAAATATATTTTAACATTTATATTAGCTTTATAATTTTTGACCAATTTTTGTATATTTTGAAATATATTTAAAAATACATCTGATATATTATTTGCTGAATGGAAAGAAACACTTGAAGCCTTCATTAAATTATGGATTTATAGCTAATTAATCAAATAATTAATGATAATGATTAATAAAAAGAATTGCAATAATTAAATTAGAAAAAAAAAAAAAATATAATAAATATATATACCGTTGACGAAGATCGGCCGCGACGCGAAGGGAACGCTGTACCGGCTGATCCAGAGAGTCAGTATGACCTACAGTAACCTGTCCTTCTTCTTCATCTCACCCGGCAAAATGCAGAGGTTCGACACGCTCTTTCAGAAAGAGACCGGCCGAGACAGGTAAACACCGTCACTTCCTTTGGGTACTTTCATTTTAACATGTTTATGTATGTATTTAAAAAAATTTTTCAATGTTATTTTGTTGTTTTAATTGTTACTATAATATTCATTTTAATATTCAAATGCATCCCACATATTTGTTGTACTTCAAAGATGAATGTGCACATAACTTGTTTGTTTACAGTTAAGCTACCTTTTAATTTAGGGCACCATGAAATCGCTTATTTTTCCCAAATTCTTTGTTTTCCCTTTTTTTTCTGGATTTTGTGTTTTACGATTGAATACAAAGTTATCTTCAAAAATAGTGTCTAATGAAATGAATTTACAAAACAATTGAATAATTTATAAACAATTGAATCGATCTTTTAAAATGTGATGAAATGAGAACAATTAGTTTGCAACAAAACACTGCATTTTTATTTTTATTGTATTCATCAAAAACAGAACTTGTATACTACAAGTTTACTATTATAGTTCTTGTTAATATTTAAATTAGATTTTATTTTTAAATTCTGTTAAATGTTTATTTTTTTTTTACATTTTTATTAGTTTGAAATAAAATGTTTATTTTTTTAATATTTCATTTGTTAATGTATTTTATTTATTTATTTTTATTTTTGTTGTTTTGTTTTTAATTGTATTTTATTTTATTTAATAATAAGACCTACTACAGCATGGTTAAATATATATATTGGTTATATAATATGTATTAAAATTAAAATAATAATAATATTGTGGATTTATTTTTTAAATAAATATCAATATCGATTTATCGCCTAGTTCTAAAACAATAAAATACAACTTTCTTGTATTTTTATATATACAATAGAAATAAAAAATAAATATGGAGAAATTATGTAAGCTTAAATATATAATTAATACAATAATTATAATAATTAAATATGTAATTATATTTTAACAAACATAATTTTACAAACATCCCTAAATTGTTTTATTGTATTGTTCGAACATTGAAATTGCTATATTTTTCACAGAAAAAAGTCTCAGTCCTGGTTAAGCACCGGCTGGTTTACCATGGTCATTGCCATAGAGATGTGTGACAACATAAAGGTTTATGGGATGGTGCCGCCAAACCATTGTGGGTAAGATGAAATCATTTGACCTTCAAAAGGTGCAGTTTCTCTCTAATGTTGATTGGGCAACAGTAAATTTCATCATGACATTATAAAGAATTCTTTTTCATTATTTTAGTCTAAGAATGTATCACTAGAATATAGTCCCTGAAATATAGTTTCCTGTAGGAAGCGTCCTCAGCCCAAACGGATGCCCTATCACTATTACAAACCCAGAGGTCCAGACGAGTGTGTGACGTACCTCCAGAACGAGAGGGGGCGCCGCGGATCACACCACCGCTTCATCACTGAGAAACAGGTGTTTGCGCGCTGGGCCAAGCAGTACAACATCAGCTACAGCCACCCGACGTGGTGAGAAACACATCCAACATACCTGGTGAGTTGGAGCCAACATGGTGGCTTTCTGTACCTCTGTGACCTTCTGATCCAAAATGGCTACCATTTCAAATTGCCTGCTCAGAACGGCTGCTGGTTTCTCTTTGATCTGGATTAGTGACTGAGCCAAAATGGAGGCCATGCATGGATCCAGGAACAAGCCAAGGGTGGACTAGCTTAGTTTTCCTTAGAAAAATGAACAGATGATGGAATGTTTGTTGTCTCAAGCGTGACGGTTTCAAAAACATCTTACATACTACTGCCGTGAAGCTTTCCTAAGCCTTCTCTTATACAGTTTTTCACCCAGAATCGGTAATTTCTCAGAGAACGAAGGCCTTTTGGATGGAGAATGAAAGAGAAATCCTTTATGTCAGTTGCCAAATAGAAGATTCATTCACATCTCATGGTACAATCAACACATCTGAATGTTAGTCATGTGAAACTACCAGAGAATAGGAATGAGAATTTAACTACTTTACAAGATTAAGAGTATGTTCTATGGTGTAAATAAGAACTATGTAAATTGTTATTCCAAAAAAAAAAAAATATTTTTACAAGTTTATATGGTTTTAAAATGCCCTAAACAAGACAATATTACAAGAAAATACTAAAAAATTGTCATTTTAAATCACATCCTTTTCAGATAAATAACACATTTTCTGTACTTTTTGGGAAGGTGTTGAAATGGAGAGCTATTTATGCCTTTATACCTTTATGAATGAAGTTATATGAAACCTGACCAAATGTCAGTCAAAGTTCTAGAACATTCTATAATTCCATTTAATATGGCTCTAGAGGCTTCACTGAATCATCCACTACAAGACACGTCCGGGTCATTTTTCGCCACAAAATTAGAAGAGAAATAAAGAAAACCAGGCCTATATAGGACCATTCATGCGTTTTAAAGTATTTAAACACATTTCACAGACAATTTTCATTAATGAAATGAAAATTAATTTTAATTGTACGGTACATGTACATTATGTAAAGTATACATTATAGTCATATTTGATGCACTAAATGCAATATATGTTTATTTAAAATAAAGTCAGTATATTGTGATTATTATTACTGTATTATCTAATTATACAGGAGTGTTGTTATTGTTAGCTATATTACAAACCATTTTCGTTATTTGAAATTAAGCTGAAAAAAAAATTTAAATAAAAAAATCTGATAAAAACTTACATTTTAAAAAAACTTAACGAAAAACCGAAATGAGTTTAAGTTGAATTCCTTTCGAAAGTGAACGTTTTACATTTTTAATGCTACATTTTTAAAAATGACTAAAACTGAAATTAAAATAAATTAAATAGAAATATTAAAAAGGATAATAAAATACACAACAAAATTAATAAAACGTAAACTAAAATTAAAACGAAAACTGAAAATATAAAAATAAAAGCCAATTAAAATATTACAAGAAAAACTTAAATGAAAATTAGAAATGTTGCCGTAACTAACTAAAATAAGGTTAAGTACTAAAATGACTAAAACTGAAATAAAAAAATAAAGCCAAACAGAAATAATTACTAGAAAATACTTAAACATATAATAACTAAGGACATTTGCAAAACATACTACTGGACCTAAAATAGGCTTCATGTTAAAAATAATTTCTTTCTTTTCTTTTGATTATGGGGTGAAATATGACCCAGATATATCATATAACCCAAGAAGTAAACAAAATGTACTATTATTCATAATCAACACCAAAAATCACTAACATACTGTGTCGCCGTTTATAATGTGTCGAGTCCTTTCAATTTATTATGACCTTTTTACCAAGTAGTTGTAATGTTATTGATCAGTTGTACAACTTGAATTTCTGACTACAGCTGTTAGTGTATATCATGCTATGACTCGCTTCTGTTTCCAAATGAGTATTTCATATGACTGTTGTAAATGCTCTGCTCTCATTGGACGACGCTGTTTCCGGCACTGTGCTTTAATTGGAGAACTCCAGTTGTCACTGGTAATGGTAGTCTGGTTAACGTATGTGCTGCTTTGAATGTCTTGCCTTTGATTTGTACAAAACCCATAAATAACGTCTGATAAATAACACAACTGCTCGGATTCGTTTGTATGAAAGAAATAGTTCACCCAGAAATTAACATTTCTGAACATTTACTCACCCTCAGGCTATCCAAGATGTAGATGAGTTTGTTTCTTCATCAGATTTGTAGAAATGTAGCATTCCATCACTTGCTCACCAATGGATCCTCTGCAGTGAATGGGTGCCGTCAGAATGAGAGTCCAAGCAGCTGATAAAAACATCACAATAATCCACAAGTAATCCACACCACTCCAGTCCATCAGTTCATGTCTTGTGAAGCCAAAAGCTGTGTGTTTGTAAGAAACTAATCCATAATTAAGATGTTTTTAAAATTGAAACCATTGCTCCTAGCTAAAGCATATACAGTCCATAATCCATAATAACGCTTCCTCCAGTGAAAAAGTCCATCCTGTTGTCCTCTTACATCAAAATCCACCAGCATAATTGTTTAGAAGTGTTTGGCTTGTAAACGGTGCTTGATCTGTGTAGATTTCTCTCCTGGTTCTGACAAGATGACATTTCACTGAAAAAGCAATATTATGCATAGAGGACTCATATTTTAGCCAGAAGCAAAGGTTTGAAGTTAAAACATCTTAATGATGGATTTGTTTCTTGCAAACATGCAGCTTTTTGCTTCACAAGACATTAACTGATGGATTGGAGTGGTGTGGATTATTGTGATGTTTTTATCAGCTGTTTGGACTCTCATTCTGACGGCACCCATTCACTGCAGAGGATCCATTGGTGAGCAAGTGATGGAATGCTACATTTCTACAAATCTGATGAAGAAACAAACTCATCTACATCTGGAATGACCTGAGGGTGAGGACATTTTCAGCATATTTTCATTTGTGGGTGAACGTGCATCGCCAAATGATGCTCATATCGCCTCTAATCATCAAGTGTCAAAAATCAACAAGCATGAGAAGAACTTATAGTTTTGAATGACATATTTCATTGTAAACATCCCAAGTATTTCTCATTTTCAAGTCCTGCTCGATAATAATCTCAGTTATCACCCATAATGTAGAGTGTTTTTTCTTCATTCATTTCGTTATTTAAAATCGACCATCTGCCCGAGCACAAGAGCAGAGGGATTGTGGGTAAAAACTATCTGGGGCATTTGTATGAAGATGCTTTAATTCTGGAAGGGTTGCAGACTGAAATCAGTATTATTATGATGATAATTATTACTCATGACTGCAGTGATTTGACAGTATGAGCTGACTGTTTTGCTCGTTTCTCATTATGAATGTTCTTTACATGCCTGTCTGAAAAAATAAACGTATACATTTGAAAACAGACTTGAGTTTCATGATTTGTTTGTTTATAGTTATAAACACAATATGCACGACAGTTCAGTGAGACAAACTAATATTTCAATACAAAATGATTCACAATAATGTACATTGTTTAGGTCTTGACAGCTGTACTTCCTGTGGTTCTGCAAATGTACTTCCTGTGGTCATCCTTTGGATTGGTCTGGAAACACAGCTGCGATTTTCTGCCTGAGTCCTGATAAACTGATTAATATGGCCTCCTGTATGAAAGAGAATAACATTCACTTAATTTCAACTGAACAGAACGGTAACTATAGCGATTGCTATCCACATCAACACATGATAAGGTCTCGTTTATTACAAGCATGTGCCGCAGTTTTTGTCATCTGCCACTTTAAATGCTTACGCTCGGATTCTGACTGACTCAATGTTTTTATCGTTCATCAGCTGGAAAAAAATGAAAGTGACATTTTTCCTCTGTGTCGTTATAGTAAAATGCACAATATATGCACAGAAAAGTATACACCATAGTAGTATTTGTTGCAGCGACTGTTAGTGCTGAATATATATTATGATTTTAATAACTGCATTATCAAGCTGGAGTGTTGTTACTGTTAACAAAAAGTATAAAAAAAAATCATTAATTGAAATTGCTGAAATAAAAATATTAGGGGGAAAAAACAAATTAAAATTAGAAATGTTGCCTTAAAAAACTAAGTGAAATAAAAAAAGTTCAAGTTGAAGTAATAAAATGATGTAAAAAGCTGAAATAAGAAGCCCAATAGAAATATTTTTTAAAAATGACAAAATTGACAAAAGCACATTACTAAAGTTAATACAACTTAAATTAACAAAATATAAAAGCTCATTCAAACTTTTAATAAATACTGCAATAGTATATAAACAATACTAAAATAACACTTATGCAAAAGGAATGTAATAGGATTTATTGATAGAATTAGAATGAAAAACATCTTTCTGGACCTAAAATGTAAAATATCATTTCTTTTTTTCTTCATTTGTATTTTTCCTTAGATTGACAATTCTTTGTGAGCAAGTAAACAAAATGTACTATATTTATAATTGTCATCAACAATCACAAACTTTAGTTGTAGTGTGGACTTTCTATATTCTTATAGAATTAAGAGTGATTTTTTTTTAAACTTTATAGTTATAATCATTTCTTGGCTGTGAACAGGCTTTTAAACAAGAAAACATGAACTTTGCCCTAAAAGGATTCTAGGGTAAAAATGTAATTTTCACTATAACAAGGTTTTGTTCAAAAGAAAACATGTTTCCCTGTGGACCCCTTGATATAAATGCATGTTCTGTCTCACCTCGGTGCGGATGGTGCGACTGCCCTGCCCAGGACAGGTGTTGAGGTAAAGGTCAAAGAGCACGCTGGGATCAGTGATGTTCAGGTTCTCATCGGCATCAACACTCGCTTCTAAACCCTGAAGACCTCCGAACACCACCAGCATACGCCTGATAGAAAACAACATTGAGCTTTATTTCTCACAGAATATTTAAAGGAATAGTTCACCTAAAAATGAAAACATACTCACCCTCAGGCCATCCAAGATGTGGATGAGTTTGTTTCTTCATCAGATTTGGAGAAATGTAGCATTGCATCACTTGCTCAGCAGTGGATCCTCTGCAGTGAATGGGTGCCGTCAGAATGAGAGTCCAAACAGCTGATAAAAACATCACAATAATCCACAAGTAATCAACACCTCTCCAGTCCAGCAGTTAATGTCTTGAGAAGCCAAAAGCTGTGTGTTTGTAAGAAACAAATCCATCAAGACATTAAACGGCTAAAATACGATTCCACAATACTGCTTCCTCCATTGAAAAAGTCATCTGGTCTGAATCAGGAGAGAAATCTGCACAGATTAAGCACCGTTTACAAGCCAAAACAGCTCTAAACAAACACGTGGGTAGATTTTGATGTGAGAGAACAACAGGAGATGGACTTTTTCACTGGAGGAAGCGTTACTATGAATTATGGACTCATATTTTGTCCAGAAGTGATGACTTGAAGTTAAAAAAACTCTTAATGATGTATTTGTTACAAACATGCAGCTTTTGGCTTCACAATGATGGACTGGAGTGGTGTGGATGACTTGTGGATTATTGTGATGTTTTTATCAGCTGTTTGGACTCTCATTCTGACGGCACCCATTCACTGCAGAGGATCCATTGCTGAGCAAGTGATGGAATGCTACATTTCTCCAAACCTGATGAAAAGACAAACTCATCTACATCTTGGATGGCCTGAGAGTGAGGACATTTTCAGCAAGTTTTTTTTATTTTTGGGTGATCTATTGCTTTAACTAAATACATTCATCAGCACTAAAAGAAGACATGGACAGAAACTTGTGCAAAACTCACTTGAATGGAGGAAGTGTGACGTGATCTGCGTTTTTTCCCCTCTCTGATGTACCGATGGTCAGATCATATCCATCTTTATACGGACACTCTGTGAACACAGCACCTACACACACACACACACACACACACACACACATACACACATACATACACATACAGAGAGACAATTTTTAGTTGTACTAGTTGATGGAGAGTAAAGGATGAAACGAGGGGAAATAGATGAATAAATGTGCAGAACTCACTGAGACAGGAAGCCAGACGGACGCTGTAGCCCCAGTACAGCCCACCCTCTGTCCTTGGGACGT